GGTGGTGGTGGTGGTGGTGGGCCATTGAATTTTAGGCCTGGCTGTAAAGAAATATTTCAAAGAAAAATTAATTTACTAATTTCAATATGAAAGGGAAGAAAAGGATTCAATATCAAAAAAATCAAAATGATTGCCCAGAATAATATCTATATTACATAGATCAAAAAAGTTAAGTCATGTACCAAATACTGAAGTCAAGTAGACTTATAAGTCAAATAACAACCTCTAGCTTTTTCTCATTTCCTTTCTATACATATATTCAGGAAGTAAAAACAAAGTAAGATTTTTAATTACCTAAGAAATCAGAGACAATGGTATTTAGCAAGATATTTCACTCATAGGAGACTTATCCTGCCAAAATTAACTAAATTGTATACTTTTTATAGATGCTCTTTTAACTATACATATGCTAACTTAGAGTATACATATTGTGAAAACTAGCAATCCCTCACCAAACATGGAAGATCAGTCCTGAGACCAATGAAGCATGATATATATGTTGTTGTTGTTAAATGCCATCAAGTCGGTTCTGACTCATAGCGACCCTATAGGACAGAACAGAACTGTCCCATAGGGTTTCCAAGGAGCACCTGGTGAGTTTGAACTGCTGACCTTTTGGTTAGCAGCCGAGCTCTTAACGACTATGCCACCAGGGATCCTATGATTGAGATATATATATACATATTTTATGAGGTTGATCATTTTAGATTCAGGAAACTGAAAAACAACGTAAACTTCAATAAAAATATTTTTTGTTCTAGTTAATTTCTATTACTTATAACAAAATAAATAGAATCAATATTTACTTTTTAACTCTGCAAAACAATCCAGGAGCTCTTCAAGATTTTATCCATATTAGATATGGAGAAAAAGACACCCAAATTGTGTTCTCTCCCAATTTTTATATATCTTACACAGGTGACATGGAGAACTACAGTATATCATCCAGCAGATGATAAAGTATTATTATACTTTCTAACCTACATAACTTTGCTAAATTATTAGTCTAAGTCTCCACAAAAGTAGTTGAGACAGTCTTTCAGTATAAACTATTCCGCATCATTACCTTATTTCCTTTTCAAGGAATTCCCAAGTGTGAATTTGCAGCAGTTACAGAAAGCTACAAAAATTTCATGGAAAAACTAGAATTAACTTAATTCAGGGGCTGAATGTCCCAATTCTACGAACTATTTCCTGGGAAACCTTCTCTGGGTAGCAGGTTTACCTTTCCTGGTCCTACTCCCAACCCTGGCATTGGGGGTGGTGGAGGTAGAAAAGAATTCCATGGAGCAGCTTTAGACTTCAAGTTATTTGGTTTATTTCCAGGAGACCTGGAGGAGTTCTCACTTTCATCTGTTGAAATTTGACTTTCATTTTCATTCTTTAAAAATAAAAAAAAAATGTGTTTTTGTTATAAAGGTATCATTAAGAAAAACTTAATACTTCAGTGGATCAAACTGACAACCAGTTATACTATTTAGTTTCTCATCTATTCTTGGCCTCTAAGAATTCTTTTTTTTTTTTTGCATTCTTACCTCTTGAGCATTCTCCTGAGCATTCTGATCTCCATTACTAACTCCTCCAAAGGTTGACAAAAGTAGATCAGACAGATTTTGCTCCTCTCTATTTCCATATCCAGTGTAAACAACAACACAGGTTTCTCTCTTAAAATCCACTGAAGCAATGGTAGCTGGGTAAACGCAGCCGTCTTCTGACCAAATGGCAGAACATTTATCACCAACTTTCCACTACAAAAGAAAGCAAAGATATACACATGTACACTTCTTTTAAAGACAATAAAATATAATCTTGTTTGGGGTGAGGAGGGAGATAGTCTCCAGTTATCTGGAAAGCAGAATGGTTTAGTGAAAAAAGACTTTGGGGCCAGAAACACATAAATTGTAACTCTTCCATTTACATAATTTTGGAAAAGTTTCTTAATCTCTTTGGTCTTATTTGTGTCATCTGTTAAATAGAAATAATATTCTCTACCTCACATATTTGTTATGAGAACTAGAAAGGAGGAAAAGTATGTAAAGTATCCAGCACTTGGGTCTGGCACATAGCAAGTGCTCATCAAAGGTTAGCTTGCTTTCCCCTTGGTAGTGATGAAACTAAAGTTGACCAATGAGACATCAACGTATTTAGCTTCCAAGTCTACTGTTTTAACTAGCAGAAATGACTTCCCAGAGTTTTTGGTTCTCTGGTGCTAATAGTATTAGGGTGCTTGAAGAAAAAAAAAAAAACCATCTCTCATCTTAAGAAGTAGAACAGTGCCAATTCGGTTTAAGGCCCTCAGGTACCTTTCCCAAATAACATCACCTCTCCTGTCCCAACCACAAAGTAAATGCTTCTCTGAATTTAGTATTTTCATTCCCACTTAATTCCTTACACTTTTAATACTGGCATGCATATTTCTAAACAACAGGAAAGTTTAATAGCAGATTTACGATTGTATGTCAACAGAAAAACAATGTACTGATCATTTAAGCTACACTGTACTAATCATTTACGTTAAAGATGCTTTACACTACTTAATAAGTAACAAGAAATACTTTGAAGTTAAATTTCAATGTTTTAAATAACCTGTTTCAATGGAGTCGTGGTATTCTTTTTTTGGCTCTTATTCTTCTTAATAGGTTTTCTTTTAGGTGTGCCTCTTGGTTTGTCTGAAGCTTCACAAATGTCACCATTCTTCAGAGCATGCTATTAAAATATGTACAGAAATGTACATGTTACGGAGTGATACATCAAAAAGAAAAAACAACATAGCTCAGTTACCACTATAAGCTGGTCTCAAGACCCCACCACTTCAGAAAGCCTTTACTTCCTCTTTTCACCATCCTACACTCTACCAAAACTGATTCTGAAGGCATCATACACCTTATCATCAATTCTAGAGACACTGTTTTAATCAAGACTCCTCATTCTCATCCTTTCCATAACATTAGACCCTACTGATCATCTCTTTCTTGAAATGCATGACACCTAGGTGACACAGCAATGTAGTGCCCCAATACTTTTATTATTTCTCTGATCAAATATTAAACTGGGTGTTCACAAGAAAGATGGCTATCCTTATCTGCTCGTGGTCATCCATTCCTATTACCACAATTACTTCTATACAAATGGACTTCTAAAGTTATTATCCAGCTCTGACTTTTCTCCTTAGCTTGATCCAACATTTCTAATTAACAATTTCTTATCTTCACATGTACCTCAAACTCAACACAATTAAAACTAAATTATTTTTTCTCCTTTACTCAGACTACTTCTGCCTACAATATCACCAGCCCCATCTGTAAACTGAGCATTCTGTCATAACTCTAACTCAGGCCCTCATGAACCAGTCGCCATCTAACTGGTGTCAGTTTCTAGTCTCTCCCATTTCAATCGGTATTTTACAGAACTCTCTTGGTAACCCTTCATTAGTCCACTTCTAGTTTAAGTGTGTATTGGAAAGAATATTATTTAAAAATCTGGAATTCAGCTGCAACAACAACATACAGGACTGAAATTTACCTCATGCTGGAGGAGTGACTACAGGAAAGAAGTGGACTCTGTACGCATGGTACTCTATATGTTCAGCCTAGTCTGGACTGCGATGGCCCACACGTGCTGCGTACAACTAAATATCTTAGACAGTGGGAAAAGTGATGATGTTGGACAACTGGGTAAATGTCTTACTTGGGCCACAGAACCAGACTAAATACTTCCTAAAACAGATGTATATTCCTACCATCAGGAATACTTGACTTGATACCCAACTCATAGGGTACTGAGAGAATCACGTTAATTTAATGTATATAAAGCATTTAGAACAGTGCTTAGAACACTGTAAACACTCTACAGGTATTAATTACTACCCTACTATTATTTATGATCATCATTATTTCAGTAAGTCTTGTTAAATGTTTAAAAATTGTAATTCATACTGCCCTTCTTCTCCTGCTAACGCGAATTAGAGGACTTCTTCTACAGTTCGATATAATGTGAAAATATTAAAAGCAATAAACGTTTAAAACTCTACTTTGCACCTTGGTGGTAGAAAAGGTTGGTGGTTTGAGTCCATCCAGAGGTGCCTTGGAAGAAAGTCCTGGTGATCTACTTCTGAAAACTCAGCCAGTGAAAATCCTATGGAGCACGGTTCTACTCTGACACACATGGGGACGCCATGATTTGGAAGGGACTGGACAGCAACTCAGTGGTCAGGTAAAGGGAAAACATAGAGACAGGCTATCAACTTCTAAAGGAAAGTATCATCTGACTTAACTAACCCATATTACTACTTAATCTTCAAAATTAAAACTGAATAACATGCACTTTAACACTTTAATGTATGTTATCAATTAAATTTTTACCAGATGAGTAATATGAGGAAACAAAGGACAGTGAGTAAACATTTCATACCTTAAATGAAGCCACAGCTTTGTCGTAGGCTTTTATCAATGCTGTATCATCCCAAATGTCAGAATCATCACTCTGGGAGGAGTAAGGAATAAAAACAATTCATGTTTGGGTGGGTTTCATGAAAAACATATGTTCAACCCATCTTAATCCAGACATAACTAAATTACATTGAAAATGGGTATTTCAAATCCTAAATAAGACCCCAGGAAGCCTAGCTACTTAGAGGTTATGTGACATTACCCCCAACGACGGAAATCTGCAAATGTTCCAAGATTTATGTCATAAAGTGAATGTCTTACTATTTAATACCTATCTACTGAACTTAATGGGATCTCCTCAAGGGTAACGCATCTAAGACCAGATAAAAGGTTTAATTTGGCAAGAAGAGAAACATGTGCCCGTCAGCTTGACTTTATCCAAACTAGGGTAATGCTATTCTGACCATAGACCTTATGGTCCAAAGAATATTTTTTCTCTCGACATTGCAATGTGACTAGATTATTCAAAGAACTCTCAAAATGTTTAAGGATACAAATTGTTAATGGTGATTAACCAATTAATTTTTCATTTTAAATAGTAGTGGTATTAAATAATCTGGAAAAGGCCTAAAAATCATTAAGCTATTTCTATTTTTATTTAAATTAATTCAACTTAAAAATGAATATTTTTGAGCACTGTGCTCATCACTGGGAGGTATATAAAATCATACTACCTGCTCTCAAGAGATCTGGTCTAACTAAGGGTTTAAGACATATCAACCACATAAAACAAGGAAAATATAAAACAAATATAATCAAATATTAAAATGTGATGTACAAACAATAAATGTTTTAATTAAAAGGAAAGAAATTAACATACGCTGGATGATCATGGAAGAAACAGGCCTAGAAAATAAAAATCAAAAGGATTTGGCTAGATAGAGAAGCAAATGAAAAGCATTCAGGGAAGACCATGAGCCAAAAAAAGCATGGAAGCAAAAATTAAACACAGTGTATCTGAGGGATTAGCAAGTCAACGAATCCAACTAGACTCAAGCTCATGTTATGGAGCAGTTGGAGATAAGTCTAGGTACATAATGTCGGGAAATGGGAAGACAGGTTAGAAAACACCTTCAGCAAGCAGTTTGGGTTGATACGATATTAATCAATCGATAATTTGCAAAGAAGTTTATAATAAAACTCATTTTTTAAATTGTAAAACTAATTTCGTCATTTTCTTGTTAATCTCCATTATATTAAGAGAAATATGTTCCAATGTAAAACTGTTAATCTCACTATATGATAAAAAGCACTTAAAATCATTAAGTCATTTTACAGAGAAGAAACATAATAACAGAGGTAAACTGACTCATTCAAGATTACATTGCAACTTGGAAGAGGGGATGCTCCTTGGTAACTTGGTAAATGGAAAGAAAGCAAACAGTAGAAATTAAGGGTCCTGAAGAAATAAAGAAATCACAAAATCAGAAGACACATCAATTCCTTACCACCGCAAAAGGCATCAATGATAAAGGAAATAGCACTCCACTAAAGAAATAGAAGAGGGATCTCTTGAAGTAAGATACATAGTACGTAACACAAACTCCTCATAACTCAACTGTTATTGCTAAACTAGGAAAATAAGGGATTTTAAAATGAACAAAAAACAAAGACATCCATTTTCATTGATAAACATTTCAGTTGATAAAACTTTCCAAACAACAAGCACAAACAGAAGAAAATTGTAACACAATACCCAACTTATATTAGATATCCTTAAAGCAGCATCTGCAATATGGAAAAAACCACCTTGAATTAAAAAAATTTTTAATTCCAAAGAGAAAAGGGAAAATTTGAATCAAGAGTTAAGCAAAATCAGGAAAGAAAATGGAAGAAAAAGTAAGATTAACTGCAAGGTACCCAAGGAAGAATATACTTGACGGAAAACCTAAAGGGCACCACAGAAAGGCATGAAAAGAGCCAAAGAAACAAAAACAAAATAGAAAATAAAGTGGTAGATAAAGATGACTGGCAAAGAATGTCCAGTGCATCAATGAGGCCTCTATTAAAAAAAAAAAAATTAGAACAAATAAACTCTAAAAAAAAATCCTCAGAGTCTCCAAGCAAAACTACGAAGTCATTCACAAAATAAGGAAAATTAGTTAGCATCAGATTTTTTCATAAACATTTATGGGGAAAAAAGTATGAGTCAAGGAATTTATATGCAGCCTAGATGTCCTTCAAGTGGCAAGACCATAAGCTAAGTTTAAAATGTGGAAGAATACTGTACTCACTAGTCTTTCCACAGGAATCTACTGAAGATAAGCTTCATCCAACCAATATATGACCAGAAAAACTTTGGTTAAACAAAAAAAAACTGTTAGTATCAAATGCACTTAATTGTAGATCTAAGAGAAAAGCAAAGGACATTAATGTCATATGTCCCAGCAAAGCAGAAACAATTCAACGTAAAAAAGGGAGAAGGGAGAAAAGGGAAAGAATAACTTCATTATCTTTTACAAAAACAGTAGGTGGAAGTCAAAGGATACTATTTACAACTGACAAACCAGATAATAAAAGGTAAAAAAGAAAAAAGGGATTAAGGGCACTATAAAAAAGGTTTCAGGATAACAGGAATGACTAGAAGGGAAATACACATCTGGCTAAATACCAACAGAAATTGAAAAAAACAAACAACAAAAAAAACAAAAACAAAGAAATACACTATGCTAAGACAGGAACATAATAAATATAACAGTGTATAAACTAATTATGGAGTCCTGAAAGGTTGGCAGTTGGAATCCACCCAGAGATGTCTCAGAAGAAAGGCCTGTTGATTTACTTCTGAAAAATCAGCCCCTGAAATCCCTACGGAGCACAGTTCTACTCTGACACACATGAAGTTTCCATGAGTCGCCATCCAGATCTGATTTCAGTCACATAAAAAATGTGAATGGACTTAACTTGCCTATCAAAAGAAATGATTTTCAAATTGGTTCACAAAGCAAGTCTAATCTACACTGCATACAAAAAAGACACCTAAAACAAAGCATAGAAAGGTAAAAATATAAAGGATGGCCACTATCTCCACTACAATAAACTCTGTATTGGAGTCAAAGTAACTAAAACAACAAGAGATATAAAAATTGGAAAAGAAAAAGTAAAACTATCTGTATTTGCAGATGATATAATAGTATACCTAAAAAGTCAAGAGATACAAGAATGAAACAAACTCAATTCTCTTTAAATTTGCAACTACTAATCTCAAGTAAAGGAAACCCTGGTGGCATAACATTTAAGAGCTACAGTTGCTAACCAAAAGGTCAGCAGTTCGAATCCACTAGGCACTCCCTGGAAACCCTATGGGGCAGTTCTACTCTGTCCTATAAGGTCACTGTGAGTTGGAACCGACTTGATGGCAATGAGTTTGGGTTTTTTTTTTTCCTCCTTGGTTTTAATCTCAAGTGGCCTGGTGGCATAGAGGTTACGTAAGTTAACGGTTTGGCTGCTAACCGAAAGGTTGGCAGTTCAAATCCACCAGGCGCTCCTTGGAAACCCTGTGGAGCAGTTCTACTCTGTCCTATAGGGTCACTATGAGTTAGAATCAACTCGACAGCAATGGGTTTGGTTTTTTGGGGGGGGTTTAATCTCAAATAGGAGCCCTGGTGGCACAGTGGTTAAGAGCTCGGCTGCTAACCAAAACGTTGACAGTTCAAATCCACCAGCTGCTCCTTGGAAACCTGATGGAGCAGTTCCACTCCATCCTATAGGGTCGCTATGAGTCGAAACTGACTCGATGGCAACGGGTTTGTTTTGTTTTAATTTCAAGTAAGCCCTATATTTCCTTAGTCCAACACTCACCCATTCTCCTAGAGGGGTACTTCCTAACTTCTCTCTCCTCAAACCTCCAACATCTTCTTCCACATACTTGCACCTAGCTGATGACCTTGATTCTTCCACTGAGAAAACAACAGCAACCGAAAGAGAATTTTCACAGTCTCCCACCACCATATACACCACCATCTACCCCCATCTGTACTCATATAACTGCCACTACATAAACTGTCAGCGTTCTAACAAAGGCCAGATCCATTCCCCCTTACCTACGCTAGGATATCACTTCAGCAATTCTCCCTTCTTTCTGCTTTATCATCAGGTCTTTTGTCCTTACTGGATTTTTTCTATCAGCCTACAAACATACTATTTCTCTCATCTTACAAACAAAAATATAAAAAACCCTGTCTAAGTGAAAAATTCGTTTGTTCTGTAAACCTTCATCTAAAGCACAATAAAAAAAATAAAGTGGCTAGAACAACAACAAAAAACTGTGTCTACTCCATCTCACCCTCTATCTACTGGCAATTACTCTACCTTCTACTTCCATAAAAACTTCTAGATATATTTGTTTTAAATACTGTCTTGCATTTCTCTTCTCACGCTGTCGAACTCACTCCAATCAGATTTTCACTCCCACCATTCCATGCGGAATCGACTCAGCGGCAACGGGTGTTTTTAATTCCATGCCCAGGATTGAACTCCTGATCTCCGCCCTTATAAACCTGCTCTACTTGCAGTCTTCCTCATGTCAGTAAATCTCAGTAAAAGACAACCTCATCTTTTCAACGGTCAGGACAACCCGAGTTCTGTCCTTAACTTTCCTCTCTCTCAAACCTACACATCCAATTCATCTGCAAGACCTGTTCCTTCTGATTTCCAGATATATCCAGGATCCAAACACTTTGCACTAGCTCCAATGCTAACAGGCTGATCCAGGTCTGAACCATTTCATTAGATTCCTACCTAGTTTCTCAGTTTCGTCCTGGTCCTGTCTCCTCTTTCTCCCTAGTCAGATAGAGGGGAACAAATCAAGATTTTGTCAAGCTACGGTAGGGCCTCGTTCAAAGCCATAAGGGCGCCCCGAGCAGATGGGGTTCGCAGGAAGGAGAGTGGTAAAATCCAAATCCAAACACGCGGCCATCAAGTCGATGCCAACTCATATTGACTTTATGGGACAGAGTAAAACTGCCCCATGGGGTTTCCAAGGAAAGCCTGGTGGATTTGAACTGCCGACCTTTTGGTTAGCAGCCGTAGCTCTTAACCACTACGCCACCAGGGTTTCCAAGGAGAGTGGGGAAGGGAGTAAAAACACGCGGACCACTGCGCCGCACAGAGCAGGGCTGGCCAGACACCACCCCGCTGTCAGAGAAAGCGCGGGGCCGGAAGGAGGGCGCTCAGAGCGCGCCTCGGTAGCCGGCAGGTAGGCAGCCCCGGCCGTGACCTCACCTGGCCTGTGCCCCGCCGGAACAGCACCGAGTCTTCCTGCTCCAGGACACCGCCACCACCGCCCATTGCCATGGCGAGTCTACTACGGGATCCGCGCCGTGAGGCTCGATCTCTTCGGAGTGACGACTTCCGGCACCCGGGACCTCTGGGAGCGGAAGAGCACGGTGGCCTGGAGGGTGGCTGGATGACTGGAGGACTCTGTATCTTCTACCAATGACCGGTAGTACTCACCCAGTTTGGTCGCTTTGATTTTTTCTACGTCATATCCCCCTCAGTCTTTCCATTTCACTTTTTCGTAGAACGATTCGACCACAGTGTTTCAATGTATAAACGAAAAAATTTTTTTGGAAAATAGTGTTCGTTGCAGGTAATTTAGATAATAGTGGTAAGCAATAGAATAAAAATCAGTCCAGAAGTAACTGATAATAATATAGCCACTGTTTTTAAAGTGCTTTTAAGAGTTTTACGTATTTTAATTATGTATTTTATTTATTTATGTATACCTCACGACAACCTATGAATTAGGGGTATTGCTTTCCACGAAGGTGCCTTGGTGGTGCAGTGGTTAAAGCGCTCTGCTGCTGACCAAAAGGTTGGTGGTTCAACCCACCTGCTGCTCTTTGGGAGAAAGATGTCACAGTCAGCTTCCGTAAGGATTTACAGCCTTGGAAACCACATGGAGACGTTCTACTCTTCCCATCACCATGCATCCAAATCGACTTGATGACAGTGAGTTTGGTGATTTTCGGCCTTCTTGCGGAGTCCCTGAGGGGCACAACCATTTAGGCACTCAGCTACTAACCAAAAAGTTGGCGGTTCACATCTACACAGAAGCACCTTGGAAAAAAAGCCTGGTGATCTACTTTTAAAAGGACTCAGCCACTGAAAACCCCATGGAGTGCAGTTCTACTCTGACACACACAGGGTTGCCTTGAGTTGGTATCCACTTGAGGGCAACTGGCTAATGGATCTCCATGCAAAGAGACCCAAGTTTGATTTTGGCCCCTTCCCCTTATTTGCAGCCACCACTCGTCTGTGGGTGGAGGCTTACGTGTTGCTATGATGCTGAACAGGTATCAGCAGAGCTTTCAGACTAAGATGGACTAGGAAGAAAGGCCTAACGATCTATTTTGGAAAATCAGCCAATGAAATCCAATGGATCCAACAATCTGATCCCCAACCAATCATGGGGATGGGGCAGGACCACTAAATGCTTAGTTCAGTTGTGCATGTGGTTGCCATGAGTCAGGGCCAACTGAATTGCAGCTAACAACATTCCCATTTTAAAGATGAAGAAACTGAGGCACAGAGCATTTACACAGCTGCCTGGAATCCAAGCAACAGAGGTCATTAAAAGATGCTCAACATCACTACTCTTGTTGTCAGGTGAGCTCATTGCTTCAGCCACTGTGTCGTCCATCTTGTTAAGGATCTTCCTCTTTTTCTCTGACCCTCTACCAGGCATGTCCTTCTCCAGGGACTGGTCCCTCCTGATCACATGTCCAAAGTATGTCAAGAAAGTCTCACCATCCTCACTTCTAAGGAGCGTTCTGGCTGTACTGCTTCCAAAACAGATTTTTGTTCTCTGGCAGTCCATGGTATATTCAACATTCTTTGCCAACACCGTAATTCAAAGGCATCAATTCTTCTTTTGTCTTCCTTATTCATTGTCCAGCTTTCCCATGCATATGAGGTGACTGAAAATACCATGACTTATGGCAGGTGCATCTTAGTCCTCAAAGTGACATCTTTGCTTTTTAACACTTGAAAGAGGTCTTCTGCAGCTGATTTTCCCAATGCAATATGATGTTTGATTTCTTCTTTTTTTAATTTTTATATTTTTTATTATACTTTAGATGAAGGTGTACAGAGCAAATTAGTTTCTCAGTAAACAATTAATACACATATCGTTTTGTGACATTGGTTGCCAACTCCACGACATGGCAACACTCTCCCCTTCTCCACCTTGGGTTCCCCATTACCAGCTTTCCTGTCCCCTCCTGCCTTCTCGTCCTTGCCCCTGGGCTGGTGTGCCCATTTAGTCTTGTCTTGTTTTATGGGCCTGTCTGATGTTTGGCTGAAGAGTGAACCTCAGGAGTGACTTGATTATTGAGTTTAAAGGGTGCCCAGAGCCATACTATTGGGGTTTCTCCAGTCTCTGTCAGACCAGTAAGTCTGGTCTTTTTCTGTGAATTAGAATTGTGTTCTACATTTATCTCCAATGCTGCCCGGGACTGTCTATTGTGATCCCTGTCAAAGCAGTTGTTGGTGGTAGCCAGGCACCGTCTAGTTGTGCTGGATTCAGTCCGGTGGAGGCTGTGGTAGTTGTGGTCCATTAGTCCTTTGGACTAATCTTTCCTTTATGTCTTTGGTTTTCTTCATTCTCCCTTGCTTCAGATGGGGTGGGACCAGTGGAGAATCTTAGATGGCTGCTCACAAGCTTTTAAGACCCCAGTCTCTAATCACCAAAGTATGATGTAGAACGTTTTCTTTATAAACTACTTTATGTCAGCTGAGCTCTTTGTCCCCTGGGACCATGGTCCTGAGCCCTCAGCATCATTTGACTTCTTAACTGTTGCTTCCATAGGCATTGATTGTGGATCCAAGTAAAATGAAATCCTTGACAACTTCAGTATTTTCTCCATTTATCATGGTGTTGCCTATTGGTCCAGTTGTGAGGGTTTTTGTTTTCTTTATGTTGAGGTATAATCCATACTGAAGGCTGTAGTCTTTGATCTTCATCAGTAAGTGCTTCAAGTCCTCTTCACTTTCAATAAGGAAGCAAGCAAGCAAACTCTTAGGGAAATGCAAATTAAAACCATAATAAGATGACACTGCCACCTACCAAAAGACTAAAGATAAAAGGATTGACAATACCTGGTGAAGGTGTGGAGCAATGGAACTTTCATATATTGCTAGTAGGAGTATAAAATGGTATAACCATTTGTTATGGATTGAATTGTGCCCCCCCTCCAAAATATGTGTTGGAATTCTAAACCCTATGCCTGTGCATGTAATATTGTTGTTAGGTGCTGTATAGTCGGCTCCAACTCATAGCTATCCTATGTACAACAGAACAAAACACTGCCTGGTCCTGTGCCATCCTCACCATCGTTATGCTTAAGCCCATTGTTGCAGCTGCTGTGTCAATCCATCTTGTTGAGGGTCTTCCTCTTTTTCCCTGACCCTCTATTTTACTAAGCATGATTTCCTTCTCCAGGGACTGATCCCTCCTGATAACACATCCAAAGTATGTGAGACGTAGTCTTGCCATCTTTGCTTCTAAGGAGCATTCTGGTTGTACTTCTTCCAAGACAGATTTGTTTATTCTTTTGGCAGTCCACGGAATATTCAATATTCTTTGTCAATACCACAATTCAAAGGCATCAATTCTTCTTCGGTCTTCTTATTCATCGTCCAGCTTTTGCATTCATATGAGGCAATTGAAAACACCATGGCTTGGGTCAGGCATACCTTAGTCTTCAAGGTGACATCTTTGTTTTTCAACACTTCAATGAGGTCTTTTACAGCCGATTTGCCCAATGCAATGTTTCTTTTAGTTTTTTGACCACTGCTTCCATGGGTGTCGATTGCGGATGCAAGTAAAATGAAATCCTTGACAACTTCAGTGTTTTCTCCATTTATCATGATGTTGCTTGTTGGTCCAGTTTTTTTTTTTTATGTTGACGTGTAATCCATACTGAAGGCTGTGGTCTTCATCAGTAAGTGCTTCATCTTCATCAGTAAGTGCTTCAGTCCTCTTCACTTTCAGCAAGCAAGGCTGTGTCATCTGCATAACGCAGGTTGTTAATGAGTCTTCCTCCAATCCTGATGCCCCATTCTTCTTCGTATAGTCCAGCTTCTTGGATTATTTGCTGAGCATATAGATTGAATAGGTATGGTGAAAGGATACAACCCTGAAACACACCTTTCTTAACTTTAAACTACACAGTATCCCTTTGTTCTATTCAAACAACTGCCTCTTGATCTATGTACAGGTTCTTCATGAGCACAATTAAGTGTTCTGGAATTCCCATTCTTTGCAATGTTATCCATAATATGTTATGATCCACAGAGCCAAATGCCTCTGCATAGTCAATAAAACACAGGTAAACATCTTTCTGGTATTCTCTGCTTTCAGCTAGTATCTGTCTGACATCAGCTATGATATCCCTGGTTCCATGTTCTCTTCTGAATCCTGCTTGAATTTCTGGCAGGTCCCTGTCAATATACTGCAGCTGCTTTTGAATGATCTTCAGCAAAATTTTACTTGCATGTGATATTGATACTGTTCGATAGTTTCTGCATTCAGTTGGATCACGTTTCTTTGGAATAGGCATAAATATGGTTCTCTTCCAGAAGGTTGGGAAAAGCTGGTAGCGTAGTAGTTAAGAACTACAGCTGCTAACCAAAAGGTCGGCAGTTTGAATCCACCAGGCGCTCCTTGGAAACCCTATGGGGCAGTCCTACTTTGTCCTATAGGGTCGCTATGAGTCAGAATCGACTCGACAGCAACAGGTTTGGTTTTTGGTTTTTGGTTTTTGGTTCCAGTTGGTTGGCCAGGTAGCGGTCTTCCAAATTTCTTGGCATAGACAAGTGAGCACTTCCAGCTCTGCATCCACTTGTTGGAACATCTCCGTTGGTATTCTGTTAATTTCTGGAGCCTTGTTTTTTGCCAATGCCTTCAGTGCAGCTTGGACTTCTTCATTCAGTACCATCAGTTCCTGATCATATGCTACCTCCTGAAATGGTTGAACGTCAACCAATTCTTTTTGGTATAGTGACTCTCTATATTCCTTCCATCTTCTTTTGATGCTTCCTGTGTTGTTTAATGTCTTCCCTATAGAATCCTTAAATATTGCAACTCAAGGCTTGAATTTTTTTCTTCACTTCTTTCAGCTTCCAAAATGCCGAGTGTGTTCTTCCCTTTTGGTTTTCTATCTCCAGGTCTTTGCACATGTCATTATAATACTTTGTCTTCTTGAGCTGCCCTTTGAAATTTTCTTTTCAGCTCATTTATTTCATCATTTCTTCTCTTTCACCTTAGCTATTCTGTGTTCAAGAGCAAGTTTCACTCTCTTCTGACATCCATTTTGGTCTTTTCTTTCTTTCCTGCCTTTTTAATGACCTCTTGCTTTCTTAATGTATGATGTCCTTGATGTCATTCCACAG